GAGGAGACTGTTGTAAAGGCAACTGCGGAAAAGGCAACTGCAAAAAAGGGGGAGGAGACTGTTGCAAAGACGACTGTGGAAAAGGCAACTGCAAAAAAGGGGGAGGAGACTGTTGCAAAGATGACTGCGGAAAAGGCAACTGCAAAAAAGGGGGAGGAGACTGTTGCAAAGACGACTGTGGAAAAGGCAACTGCGAAAAAGGGGGAGGACCTGATTGCGGAACTGATGGAGATGGCTCCAGTGGCTTGTCATGTAGCATATCTCCACAGAGTGGAACAATCCTTGATGGTTTTGATATAACTTGCAAAACTGAAAATCCCTGCTCTAACTGTCAGTATTGTTTCAGCACTCAGAGTAAGTACTTCTGGATCAGCAAAATCTTTTAAGACACTGATGTAACTAAGTTTAACAGTGCCATTTATTTTCCACATTGTTTTAACATGTGGCAGGTACGAGGTGGTGGAGAGTAATAAGCATACAACTGCTCTAATTGAATTATTCACTACAGTAACAGGCTTCCATATACTGGATGTACGACTCAACCGCTATTCTAAAACTTACAGGGAAACAGCAAAACAAAGCAAAAAGAAAAGACAAAAAGCAAGAAGGAATCAAAAAAGGCAAAGTACAATGGACACAAGGCAAGAAGGAACCCATAAAAACAAAGCAGCAGCACTACTGTAAACGTAGCCCAGAGAAGCAGTTGCCCTCTCAGGACAAGATTTCATGCAAGGCTTCGTACAATTAGCAATTTACAGCAAAAATACACTTACAACAGAAGTAAGGCTAAGATCGTAACAAATCAAAAGCTACATAGGGGAAAGTGGGGCGATTTGTCCCAGCGGTAAGTTGTGTTTCTAAGGATCCATAGAAACACGGGGGTGGCACTGTAGAACAGTCCAAAGTGACTGATCCCAGAATTAGATCCTGAAATATATGTACATATTATAGAAAGAAGCATTCCTTTCAAGGCCTCACTGTAAAGTCACTCTAAGTAAAAACTGGCACAACTCACCCCACTTTCCCCTACTGATCAAACGGCGTCGCCCAATTTGCAAACGACGTGGCCAATAGGAGGCTTCTGCAGCTACAGCCTAAAAACACACACATTTACTACCAAGTAAAACAATAAACATACGGCACAAAATAACATACCAGAAATCGATGGAAGGCTTCCGGAGAAATAATCCACAGGTGATCTCCACAAAAACACGAGTAGCACCACTCAACCAAAGTGTAGCCCATTCAGACTGAGGCAGTAGTGACATGACTCCTACCTGTAACAGCTAGGGAAGTCAGGTGACAGAGGGCTCAAATGCGTACAGCAACAGGTGAGCAAGTGAGGGATGCAGCTACTATTATCATAGCACCATATAATGCGATTGGCAAGTAGTGTGATTAATAATATTGAAATATTCATAATATTCATTTAGCTACAAACACAATGGAGTATATTTCACTAGAAATCTAATAATAGATTCTAAATCTAAAAATCTAATCTAAAAACTCTCTTGTTTGAACCTTATCAGGTAAGACTCTGCGATGCAGTCAGAGCAATGAAGTAAAATTCATCTTCCTTCCTCTCGGAGACAGCAATTCTAACTACAAACTGAATATACTGGCAACTGCAACGGGTGAAGGCCAAACAGTGCTCAGCACCACTATAACTGCACAGGTATGCCACAAATAGGATGCATGTACTGACGAGAAAAGATCCAGAGTACTACAGATTTTCTAGTACTGTGAGAAAATATTTTCTTTTCATCAGGTTATGGATTCAACTTTGAGCGTAAGCTCAATAGAGAACATCTTGGATCAGCTAAAGGCAGAAGGCCAGCTGTCACCAGAAGTCGCTGGACAACTCCTCAGTTCTCTGGCCAATAAACTTAACGACCAAACTGATCCTGCAGGACAAGCAGATAGGCAAGCGGTATGACATCTCACTCTGTTTAAGGATAGGACCAGTGAAGAGCCTTGTGCTGCCAGCAGGGCTAAGCAAGCTTTTAACTGTTAAGGCCTTTACACACCGGATGGGTTAAAAAATTTTCAGGCTCACATACTGTTAATGCAGCTGTTAACATCAACCGTGTAATTTTGCAAAAAGAGTCTGGACAGCTCCACTGACATCCTAAAATATGTACAAAAACAGTCATAATGCAGTTATGAATCAAACCACGAAATTTTCTCTGTTGCTTCTTTGTTGTGAGATTTGGATGAACCCAGAATCTCATGCTTTAGGAGCCGCCCAACAGTTGATTCATTCAAAGGAAGTTTCTGTGTGTAATTTTACATCTTTTTGACAGCTTCTCAAGAAAACACAGGTCTCATTTCCAGACTTAATGAGACAGGGTGGATGGAAAGGAAAAAACATCTCTGTGAATCAGGAAATGTTTGAATCTGAATGAACAACATTGTTACTGTAAAATTCTAATATGTCACTTTTTTATGCATTTATTTTGTTGGTGTCTGAAGCTTCGACAGAAGATGCTGGACATATTGATTGCTTTAGTAAATGAAAATCTCAACAAAAGTCTACAAGACGTTCAGGCGTTAGCCACAGCACTTGCTTCTCTCGTCAAGAAAGGGACTGAACTCGATACATCAGCACAGGTACTGTAGAGAAGTTCAAAAAAGGAGGAATCCATTAGTAAGGACTGTAGACATCTCTCTGCAATGCGTACTGATGTATGTTGCTCCCTTCTTAATGGGAAGTAAATGTTTGGTGGACAGGGCTTTTTTTTTACTCTGCCCTGTACTAAAATTAAAGGTGCGATATGAGGACCACATTTTAAAGCTTTTGACAATTCAAAAATGTTAATATCTTCATAATATCTCCCAAATACATGTCTGTGACTGTGAGTTAATTCCCACCTTCAGGAAAGGGCCGCGTCATTGTTCGCAACCCTGAGTTCATTTCTCCTCCACATGGATCTAAACGCAACTGAAGTCTTTGCCACAGCCAACATTATTGTGGAGGGCATAAGCAACATGCTCGACTATTGTCCCAGTGTGAGTCTTATCAGGCCAATACCGATTGTGTTTATTTCTCTGGGGAATTGTGGTAGCTTTTAATGTTAGATATGCAAATCAATATCACTTCCCAGCAATATCTGCTGTCTCTTCAAAAAACCTTTTTTGTATTTAAAATCAGTTTTATTTCTGATTCTAAATGTTATGTGTTGCAGAAAATCACCTCAGATAGCCTTCTTGGTGCCCTGTTCAATATACAGAGTGCGATGTTGGTCTTTATGGAACTCAATGAGGACTCAAGCATAATTCGGCAAACGCACGTTAAAGTATTTGTCAGAAGGTAAGTTTCCCTTCAAATGCCAGACAAAGTTATCAAACAAAAATTAACCACATGTCCCAGAAATTTGAACTGGGAAAATATCACTGATGCTGGTATACTAAAAAGCTGAAGCCTACAGCCACCTGTCTACGGATGGGTGACAAAATATAGGAAAACCTGCATAAACCACATGGAAAATTCAGCAAATACAGATGTTTCCATAAAACAATGTTGTGTGGCACCTATGAAAGTGCTGAGGAGGAAAATTTGATTCTCATATGACAGCCATATGCAAAGAGGAAAGCTCTGGTTTTAAAAGATGGTTCATTGTTGGTGTAAATAGCATAAGGTTTATCCACAACTAGAGTTTCTAGAAAAGATATCTGCAAATAGTTAGACAAACTCCACCTGTGATGGCGTGATACTCGATTAACACAGGATTAAATACGGGCCAAAGTTTTAGAAATGTCTGTTTTCAGTCAGTGTACCCATCCATGGGATAAGAGTGGTTTGTGAACAACCATGATTATCAACACGAGAATGAAGAACGATGACTATGTCTTAAAAATATCCATTTACTACAGTAAAGGCAGAATCTGTGACAATCCAGATTGAATCCAGTTTTGTTTTTACAGTGGCTTATTACACTGACAACATTATATAGTAAAAGGATCTCTTACTGAGCCACTTTGAAGTGACAGTGGTTCACATTTATGTCCCCTCCAGTCGTTAACACAACTACCATAACGTGGTTACAAGTAGCCAAGTCGCAATGAAAACACATTTTACTTTGTATATTAATAATTTATTGATTCCAGAGCTGTTAAACCTGCAAACTAATATTTAAGAGAAGCACATGTTTAATGTGGATCTCCTGATCTTTTCTTACAGAGTTTTACCAGCAGTCTTGTACACAGGCTCAGTAAATATTACCAACTGTACCTGCATCACATTTTCTGTTCCACAACTACCCTCTACCATACTTCCTTCAGACAAACCAGTGGATGTGCGAGTACGTCAATACCCATGTGCCTATGAGTGTTTGTGCTGTGGATATGTGCATGTGTGTAAATCAATTTTGCTCAATCATCCTAACGTCTAATGTCTGACTTGATCTTTGAATTACACTTTCAGATGCTGAACTTAGATGTAAACCCATTTTGTTGGAAGGTGGGATGGGACATCAGCAGATTTGTAGGTTCTTTATCCCTCACAACAAAAGAAGGGTCTGTTATCCCTGTGGAAAACTTAAGTAAGGATATTCAGGTCAGTGTAGCAACATTACAGCATTCACAATTACTGTTTTCAATCTCCTTTTGAGAGGACTTGTTTCTGGGGACGTTTGAGAAATGCATATTAAGAATAGTTTTGTGACACAAATGGAGATGGTGAATCTGTTGGCCAGAATTCCTATGAATCCATAACACACCCACCAGGTAGTAGTTGTTGTATGGGTTTCATGAGTTAATGACAAGAATAACAGAAAGAAATATTTGATCCCCAAAGCTAGCCAGAATCCTGGATCCCACAGATCAATCAATCAGTTATAGATACTTCCCATGTAAACTCCTTATGTGCATAAAGCACACCTGTCCACAGAATCAATGTCACTCATTCCAAACTGTCCACCACAATGGCCGAGACAAAAGACGGACAAGATTTAGATCTGCATCTGGACTACAAGACCATCAGCAAGACGTTTGGTGAGAAGGTGACAACTGGCTAAAACACTGGCTAAAAAAGAATCACAATAAGGTCATGGAGTGGCCTAACCAATCTCCAGAACTTGATAATCTAGGGAGAGAGAGCTGAAACTGTGAGTCACCAAGAAGAAACCTGGAGAGTTTAGAGAGTTTCTGTAAAGGGGACTGGGCTATAATCCCTCCCTAGATGTGAGAGAAGGTGGTGACCACCTACAAGAAACATTTTACTGCTTTCAATTTCTCCACCAAGTGCTAAGTCATATTTTACTTGAGGATTAAATACTTATGCAAATAATTTCACTCAATGACAAAAAATATATATATATATAATAGAAAAGGGCCTGATGTAATTCTTGGGAGGGATTACTACTTTTAAATAGTAGTACAATTAATAGTAGTAGTAGTACTAATTAATATGTTACTTGCATGTAACTATTTTACACGTTTAAAATATGTTAAAGTGGCTACATTTTGAAACAGTGGGTTAGTGGATAACCGCTTTCTAACATGTGACTTCAGATCGTGTTTCCACGGTTTGCTGGAGAACAAGTGAACACCACTATTCTGGACTTGGGGAACTTCAGCACAACGGTTATTGATATTCCTTCAGCGAACTCTACTCTGGTTCTAAAGGTTCAGTGACTTGTTCTTTTATGTCGACTCCTGAAATTAGAAGAAGCAAACATGCTTAGTGGACAGTGATATTATGGTTACATTACATACAGAGGCTACATTCTGTTCAGCGTGACTTTTGCTTGTGACCATGCTAACATTGCTAACTGTTAGCAGAAAGTGTAGCTACAAGACGAGGCTAAAGAAAATGTTTACATGGCAGTTTTGCATTAAAAAATCAGCTATTGCAGGTCTGGAGACCATGAATATATGTACCAGTTTCTGACACATTTCATCACCTACATCAGAAGAATCTTTATTTGATGTAAATTAATGTCATAGTGATTAACCGCTGACAGATTGTCATTCCAAATATGTAGAGCCACGCTGTTATCCTCCTTAAAACTTCATATCTTTGCTACACTCTAGCACTTTGATGACTGCAGCCAATCATAGTTTTACTAATTATATTCTTTATTCTTTCATGAAGGAAAATCTGAAAAAAGAACTTTCTTGAAATACAAGTGGAATATAGTTATTATTTTAGATTGCGCATTCATTTGTCTTGCATGTCCAACCTTTTAAAGATGATGCCTTCAAAGGTTCCTTTACCCTTCAAAGTCCTCCTTGGTTATAATGACTACCCTACTGAGACAAATTATGTAGCGGCAACAGAGATGCCTCAGCAGGGAGCCACACAAGGTAAGAAATGCCTTTGCTTAATTGTGGTGACAAGATTTTTTCCACTTCTAATGTGACTGAAGTGAGATTTGACTGTGTCTCGTGTGCCTGCACAGAGGAGAAATACACATGGCTCCTGCACCCTGAGGATTTAAAGGGCAACACTGGAGTGCATTATCTTGTTGTGAGACCCATAGTGGGCCCAGGTATAAAATCTATAAATGCCAGTTTATCAATTACGCCCATCACAACCTCATGTCAATTTTGGAATATATCACTACTGGACTGGAGCAAATCTGGATGCAGAGTAAGTGCAACATTTTAATCTGCTACACGTACAGTGAGGCGTTGCTTAAACAATAATGGAAATATAAGCTGTTGTCTTTCAAGGTTGGTGCCAATACCACGCATTTAGAAACCCAGTGCCTCTGCAACCACCTCACCTTCTTTGGGAACTCCTTCTTTGTCACTCCCAACCTTGTCGACCCGTCACGCACTGCCGAGCTATTTGCAACCTTTGCCGATAATCCTGTGGTTGTGTGCTTCGTCCTGGCACTCTTTTTGGCGTATCTCTTGGTCCTCGTGTGGGCAAGACGAAAAGATATTCAAGACACAGTCAAGGTATTGCATCTCTCGTGGACTGAAGAACAGATTAAAAATAACAAAAGGCTTGTCTGTTTCCTAGGAATATTATATATCTTTAAAAAAAAACACAACAACAACTTATATGTTAGTTGGTCTGAGGTGTTTTATGTGGAAACAGTTGTGTTTGAGGCTCCAGGGGACGCTTGATGTTGTGAAAACCTGGAGTTGTATGAGTTAGAGAATAAAGAAAATAGCTAGAAAGACTTTGTAGCTCACTTCTCATCTGTTTGATCCTTGAAGCTTAAGGTCATTTCAGCCACTTCTAAAATACACACTTGTATCTCTGTATCTTCTATATTCTTACATGAACTCTCTCTCTGGATAGATAGATTCTAGATAGATAGTTGAACGCTAATATGTGAACAGCTTTTCTATTTGGGAATAGCGTCTCCATCTCATGTCCATATAATATTTTTGCTTGTTGGCTGAATAACAGGTAAAGGTGACAGAGCTGGAGGACAATGATCCAATGGATGAGTATCGCTACCTGTTGAGTGTCTGTACCGGGCATCGTATAGGAGCCTCCACTTCCTCTCAGGTACATGTGTTCAGTGAAAGACATGAGATGCACGTTCTCTGTTTTCAGTCTGCTTATCAGCAGCTCATCTTTTTACAATTTCACCACCAGAGATGGGCAGTAGCGTTACTGTAATCTGATTACTTTTTTCAAGTAACAAGAAAAGGGATTACTATTGCCAAAAAAGTAATTAGATTACTGTTACTTCTCCCATAAGCACCCTGCGTTACTAAACCGTGATTTTGTTTGTGAGCGTGTCTCATGACAAGGACGTACGAGCGTGCAACGTCCGTGGCAGCGATGTCCGTGTGCAGATCAACAATAAATAATATGGAGTGCAGGAGAGAAGGTACGACCATGCTGCATTTAAAGCTTGGAAGTACTGGCATTACTTTGAGTTTGATTCTGTAAGTGACAAAAACATTAGCGTTTGCTGTTCACTCTGCGTGGAAAGAAAACATCTTTCTACAGCGAAAAATTAAACATTAAATCTGAGCAAGCACCGAGCACAGCGCCACGGGAATGTGAAATTCACAGAGAAATCCCCCGATCCTCCCACTGACTGCTGAGGCCCTGGGCAAACCTCCACCCACCCAACTCCTGCTAAATAGATGAAAACAGATTTAAGAGCCACAGGGCTCAGTGCTGCTGAGTCTTTGATTTTATTTGAAAGAGTGAGTGCAAACACAAAACATTATTTTATTTTATAAGCTGGAATATGCAGAAAATCGGTTTGAATGTTAAACACATTTCACAGAGAATATTGCATATAATTTAATTTTTTCTTGATGCTTAAAGTTAAAAGATTAAAACTAATAAAACAAGTTTTAAAAAGAGACTTTTTCCTTTGATTACATTTTACATAATGATGGATTATGCAGGACAAGTAGAACTGGGCTGAAAGGTCTTTCGCTTTATTATGTACTGAGGTTGTGTTTTTATAAATTAAGTAATAAAGTAACTAATTACTTTTGAAAACAAGTGATCAGTAATGAAACAGGATTACATCTTGAGAAGTAATCAGTAATTAGTAACTAATTACTATTTTCAAGTAACTTGACCAACACTGTTCACCACAAACAAGAAATTTTTCATCTTTGTTATCCAAATACATAATACGCTATTCAGCAACTCTTCCTGTTTCCCTGGCAGTGAAACACCGTGAAGCACTCAATAACCAAAGACTTCTGGGGTTGCTCCATCAGCTCCATCTCAAGGGCGAGTTCTAAAATAGGCTTGTGAATACTCAGCTTTCGTTAGGTGGTGGGCTTCGTACACCTGCTCTTTCTGCCAACACATTAGGCCCCAGAACTAAGATAATAATATATGTGGTTTTTTAGCATGTTCTGCTAACACTAAGCTACAGGCAGATTTGCACTTGGGTTTCAGCACATGCTCTGTACTGATCACTAAGGCTGCTCATCTCATCACACGTATTTTCTGTCTGTATTAATTTTTCAGTGATTTTTTTTTTTCTTTCACTAACTTTATGTGAGAAAGTACATTGTTTGTGGCTTTTCTTTTCTGTATTCCCAGATTGATGTATGCAATTACATATTAAAGAAAAGGCTCGTGCTTTAATATCTATCTCATCTGATAGAATAGAAGAAGAAGAAAATGAGAGTGGAGCTTAAACATGCATTTTTTTATGTCCAACCGGTGGTAACTCCTCTGGATGGAAAGTAAAGAAACTAATAAAACAGACTGTATAGAAGTATTTTGGTAAAAGACCATAATTCTTACTTTTCTACTTGTTGCTAACATGTTAACAAGTTTTGTAAACAATGATAAAACATTGTGTGTCTTAACGTCGGGGATGTTTTTCTTGCTGTTAACACTGACCTACGAGCATGTTAGCATGTTACGAGCTCATGTTTAATAAAATTCTGTAACCTTTTTCCTAGCAAAATATAAATACATGCACAGCACTGTGTGTATCATATGCACTGCACGCAGACTCTCACACTTACACACAGTGAAATCTTAATTGTTATTTTTACAGTGGTTATTCTAACTGTATGAAACAGGCAAAAGTTGATCGAGTCCGTATTTCTATTACTATTTGAAGTTTTCCCTAATATACTGCCAGAAACACTTTAAACCAGTACTAAGGCGCTACCATTGCTCTCATATATGGAATCAGAATGGTATTGTTTTCAGTTTTATACTTTTCATGCACCAAATTGATTATTTTAGGTGACAGTTACTCTGCTGGGTACAGAAGGACACAGCGAGCCTCACCACTTGACAGATTCAAAGAAACGTGTGTTTGAAAGGGGAGCAGTGGACATGTTCCTGCTAACTACGCCCTTCTCCCTGGGAGACCTGCAGGGCATCAGACTATGGCACAACAATTCAGGAAGCCATTCTGCCTGGTAGGAAAAAAAGAAATGTCACAACCACACAAAAGAAAGGCATCTCGACAATTATGGTATTTTCTGAGTCATTAGAAACATACTGTTTGACCTAGAACACCACAATGATTGGACATTAAGGTGAATACAGTGTGAATCAGGTCCCAATTACACTGATCTTTAAATGCAATTCAGCTGTCATTTTAAATAATATGTCTTCTACTGACTTTTGTGGGTGTCACGTGGAGCAAAGCAGAGGTCACCTGATTGCATCTTGCATTTACATTGTTTGCCTTTTCTCAGGTACGTAGGCAATGTCATGGTGCAGGATTTACAGACAGAGGAGAAATGGCATTTTCTATGTAATTCCTGGCTGTCGGTAGACATTGATGACTGTTCCCTCGATAAAATATTTCCTGCTGCAACAGAGATGGATCTAAAGAGGTTCAGGTAAGCGGCTGGTGGTACGTTTGGTAGCAGAATTACACGTACAAGCACTCTGTCTAGAGGCTGAACATGAAACCCAGATTGAATTTGCATTTGATCAGTACTCCCAATCGAATTCATGGTTTGGAGTTCCATTTGGATAATGTTATGTTTGCAGCAGGCAGGGTAAACTATCATTTTTTTAAATGAAATTCACTTTCACAAAGCAGCAGGCAGCATTTACTTTTCAACTCGTTGAAAAATCTACCAGTGCTTGTGGACTTTCACAAGGCTACCAGAAAGACATTATTAGGCTCAGGTATGATTAAAATACGAAGTGGAGGGATAGTGGACTCACTGGACAGAGGATGTTGAGCTGCCAAGCAGGAGAAAAAGAAGAAAACCACAGAGAAGATTCATGGATGATGTGATAGAGGAGATACAGTGGGTTGGTGTGACAGAAGAAGCTGGGGATAGAGTGAGATAGAGGCAGATGATCTACCATGGTGACTAAGGGAACCAGCTGAAAGAATAAAAAAAATGTGACTACAGAACAATTTATTGTTTTACTTGAATTTAGCTGAATTTCCAAAGATGAAATGAAACCCAGTAAAAGCTGCCACTTTTTTCTCATCCCAGTTGAGTAGTAAATATTTGGTTTAAGCGCTGATCTGGTGATTTAGTGGGGATTATTCGCTTTTCTTTAGGCCCTAAAACCTCCAAATGCTTCAGATCTACAATCGTGTTTTACAGGAATTAGAAAAAGATTCAAATGTGATGCTAATCCCTCGCTATTTAGCTGTCTATGAAGGTTTAAAACATTTGATTTTTACAATGTTGCTTTTATCTTCCAGTAATTTGTTCTTCACAAAGACAACAAAGGATTTCAATGACGGACACCTCTGGATTTCGGTGATCAGTCGACCACCAAGCAGCCACTTCACCCGTGTGCAGAGAGTGTCCTGCTGTTTTTCTCTGCTGCTCTGTACCATGTTAACCAGTATCATGTTTTATGGGATCCCAAAAGACCCCTCTGACCAAGTAATGGACCTAGGTACATCAAAAATTTATTGCCATTAAATTTACTTTTAAAAAAGTGTGAAAAAGTCCAGATCTAATTCATCTAATTCCTATATGTATTTTCAGGAAGTTTTGAGTTTACTTGGCAGCAGTTCATGATTGGAGTTCAGAGTTCCCTCATCATGTTTCCCGTCAATATCCTCATCGTCAGTATTTTCAGATTCACTCGTCCTCGGGAGTTTTCTTGTTGCCAGCGCAAAAGAAAGAAAAAGAACACACAAGATTCTTCTGCCACAACGGACATGACTAACAGAGTGTCTTTAGATGTTATCATTAAGGTAGGTGTTTCCTGTTTTTGTGTTTCTGCATTTAATATTAAACAATAGCCTTATGACAAACCTTTTTGTACGTGTTACAAATACTGATGGTTTTGTGGGTTTAGAAGAATTTATCTAATGTGCATACACTTCATTTGGTATCAAAATGTGGTATTGAATGTGCTTCCCCTTAGGACATCACAAGAATTGCCCACTCGCTCTCTAAGACGATGAAAAGCAACGTCGCATGCAAGGAGTTTAAGTTTGTGCCTGAACAAGAAAATGATGTCAATGCTATTCTTTCTGTGTTGAAAGACTTAATCACACAGAATAACACAGCTGGTGAAAATATCGAGACAGAAACAGAGCCTCAGCTATCAGGTGAGTTCTCGTGTTAATAATTGATCATGATCAACCAAAAGTGCTGCAACACTGCCCCAAACCCCCCATCTTATTTAAGTTTGGGTGGCCTGCCCGTTAAGAACATATTCTTGGGTACTTCTATATCAGTTTCAACATTGTACTGTTCAGAAAACAAAACTAAACTTGAAGCACAGACATTGTGACACACTGGAGGAGATCACGTGGCCACTGAAGTGCAAGTAGCTTTCTAAAAACAAGAGCAAAGTTGCAGGAAGCCAAATCTGGCGCCTGCTGATGAGTGATTGTGCTGCTGAGGCCAAAATCACCTGCCTCTTCAACTGTGGTGTGTGCCACTGAGTATCAGCACACACCGCACTGAAGCGGTGTACAGCAAATCTTCTCGGTTTCATTGCTCTTTAGGATGTTACCTTAGAACACGCTGACTGTCTGAGCCTAGAAAATGAATTTATGGTCAATGCTGCATCTTCCTCGAGCGATGCTTTGCCATTGGGGTGATGTCTACTGAGAAGTACTTTAGTTTGAAGTTGGGGTCAGTTGGGGTTCAGCTGGGTCAGTTGGACACAAATTTTTACATGTGAACTCTGCACCACATACGAGTGCGTAGAATAGGATTCATGTCTTTGAGTGCCTCTGGATACAAACCAGAGGGGAGATCAGCTAACTCAGCCTTTGGACTTTTCACAAGTGTAGTCAGATAACTTTATGATCACAGCTCTCGCGGTAAGGGTCAAATTGAAGTGCTAGAGCATTTTTTCTGCTTCACCCATCCCAGTATATTAGTACTTACATATCAGAAGGTCTCACAAACAGTTTGGTGTCAGTTATTTTGCTTTTAAATAACATGCAAAGCAAATTTAAGTGCCGTGCTACTATAGTCAAATTTGATGGACGTTGTTTTTAATCAGCTGTTAATTCAAAGAGGCATAAAAGATGAAAATTTGCCTGAAAGGACGGAGACTGCAGAGTTCTGAAATCATTCAGAAGATACTTGCTTATATGACAAAGTGGTTGTTTGAAACAGATAAAGATAGAATTTGAAAATTCTGCCAACAATCACATTTCTGCAAACAAAGCAATTTTTGCTTTCTGAACACATCATATAATGTGCTTCCTTGAGATTTCCAAGTAATAACATGTGTACATTTTCAGATAGCAGTGCTTATCCAGCATCGGAAGAGGGGGTGATTCAGAAGAACAGAAACAAAAGCCAGTATCTGTACAGACAACTGTGTCGCATCGACAGTGAGTTGAGTCAGCTGGGTCCCTCAGGCTTCCCGAATCCACACAGCTACAAGCAGGCGCTGCAGCAAGTCCAGAGCATGAAGGAGTTTCTTGAAGATCAACTCGTCGCATCCAACAGAGGCGTTCCAGATGAACCCACCAACAAAACGTATGAAAGTCACTCTTTAAGAGGACCGCACTGGTGCAGTTAGATGTCACATCCATCTAGAACATTTTATTTTATCTTGGAGGAATTAACTGCAGTTATAGCTGCTGTATGTCTTTGTTTTAATTATTATCATCACTGCAATGCTTTTAATTGATAAAATTAAAACTCAACATAAAGACGGGGGTTGTTGAGGCACTCTGAGGATAAAATCATATAACAAATTTGTTCTCACAACAATTCAGCAAGCAAAACACACCAACGTGTATCGACTCCAATCTTCCTCAGGGACTGACACACGCACAGCCTAGATTAAATACCCTGCCTCGCACTCAACCAGCACCTGTGTGCAAAGTATTTTAAAAAGACAGACGTCCCTACATATCAAAGCAATAACAACACCTCAGCAATGTTCTGTAAGAATTATCAAAGAAATTACAAAAGCAATATGAGAAAAAGGACCAACAAACACCATTTTTAAACTCACAGTAAATCAAAATAGAGCACAATTCAATCATTAAAATACGTTAAGCTAGAGCACAAAATTTCACTAGTCAAAATATGCATGATCCTGCACAGTAAGCTATTAAAAAAAACTTCAAAAATAAACAATAAAATCTATGAGAGAATCATCAAAATGGGTGTTCTATGAGTAAAATAACTGAAGTCGAATTGCTGATCTGCAGAGGTGGAAAAAGTACCAAAGTACAAGTACAGGTTCTTAAAAAATACTAGTAAAGTATTAAGTACACTCCAGAAAAAGCTGACTCAACTTCTTTACTCAAGTAAAAGATGAAGAAAATACAGGCTCTGAAATGTACTCAAAGTGAGAAAGTAAAAAGTAGCTCTTTGAAGCACATTTATATCAAGTATTTTTATGCAAAGCTAAATGAACTTTGTGCTATTACTCGATCAGTTTCAGATGATGGATAATAAATGTAAATGTGTATGCGTTAGTCCCCGTAGGGAAATTACTCCTCTGCATTTAAGCCATTCACCCAGTGAAGCAGTGGGCAGCCACCAATGCAGCGCCCAGACAGCAGAGTTTAGGGACGGTACCTTGCTCAGGGGTACCTCAGGGTAGCTGTTCAGTAGAGTCGAACCCCCGACCTTCCAATCATGGGGCCACCACTCTACCTACTGAGCTATCCCTGCCCCTTCTATGTGTCATCAGCTTAAATTCAAATTCATCTCTGCTACATTTCATGTAACCTAACTCTGAGCATGAACCTCTTCTTCCTGTTCTGTTTTCCTCTTTTCCCTTTATGCTCGCTCCTGCAGCAAGGAATTGTGCAATGCTCCAGCCCACTTTAACCTCTGACTATAGCATGATGAATGATGCAAAAAATATGAGTTATCAAAAGCTTTTGCTTCTTTGATGTCTTTGTGTGTGTAAAGCCCCAGTGATAGATACAGCAGTAGGATTACTTTTACAGATGTTTGAAGGCAGCTGTGAAATAAAAACTTCCCTCAGTTGTCTTAAACCTAAAGTAATGAGCCTGGTTTGAAAATGTGAGGAGTGAAAAGTATAAATATTTGGGTAAAAATGTAGAGAGTAAAAGTTAACAGCTGAACATAAATACTCAAGTACTTGACTAACAAAATAGTTGTACTTCCTACCTCTGCATTATTGAGCATATTCAATTCAAATTTTCAGTTCAGTTTTATTTATATAGAAGGAAATCACAAAAGCAGTCACCTCAAGGTGCTTTATATGGTAAAGGCCCTAAAGTAGTATAATATGGAGAGCAGTACTGATTTAAAGATGTATACACGATGTTAGGATAATGGCCTATTACTTTGCAAAAACATTTTTACTCATTGCTCACTGCTCTGTAAAGT